TACAACATATCACAAGCACAATACAGACAATACAGAGTTACAAACAAAGTGGTAGGGAATTAACAATGGTGGTTGTATTACATATTGATATCTTCAAAGAAGCTGTTCATTTTAGATCAGATACCAAAAAGTGGTAAAGGAAAGATATTGGCATTTTAAAAGATACTAGATATTTCTTTGTTTTTATCCAAAAGAGCAAAAGTTATCCTTCACGAGTATTTATTAAACTTTTAAGTTAATGGATACATATGATTTACAAAGAAGTAGATATATGTGTATCCTCAGTTTTTTTTAAGTGTTAGTACATGATTTTAAAATGTAGAAATTATTCATATAAATAACTACTCTGTAACTTAACTTCATACAATTTGAGTGCTCATTTTTCTTTTTGCTTTGGGTTGAGAGAAGGCCATATCATGTGTGGTTTGGTGTGTGAATTAGGTTTTCCAGGGGCTTGAAAAGAATATAGTGTGAATTAAATCATCACACATGCTAGAGTAAGCTTGCCAGACTGTAAGAATATCATGATTTCATGTGGATTCATTACATTTTGGGGATTGTTTTAATTTTAGTAAGAAACACAGCAATTTGTTACTGTAACTTATAGACGTACTCAAGTATGTTTTCAATGTAAATTTTTTTCATCTTGACTCCAGCAGTGATTGATTTGATAGCCATTAAGTGCGATACGAACCTGATATTAAAGTGAAAAAAAGACATGTTAAGGAGTCAACAAGTAAGATCTATCGGGCATACAAGGAACGTTTACTGCCAAAGCTTGCTTAAGTGTAAGATCTGATTGATGTCAATAGTAAACAGAGGCTGAAACTATGAAGTGTTGCTTGTTGTACATCATACTTTTACGAAGTGATATTTTCTGTATCATCAAATTATATGTGTAGGGTAGATGTTAACACAGAAGAAAATTAAGTGTGGAACCAGACCTGCTCCTCTATTAGACATAGTAGTAGTCATTTTTTAGCAAAGTAACACTACCTTTTAAATGGGATTGATGTTTTTAGGTTATTGCTGGTTTTGTTAGAATTTAATTTATAATTTTATCTTGATTCCATAGTTTTATAAGAACCTTTAACCTAAGCAGTTTACCTATGTGTGTATACTTAAGTAGCATTGTATGAGACATTTAGCACTTGGATCAGTTGAGTATTTTTTTTTTTCTCCAGGAAAAAAAAGACTTTTTTAAGTTAGTAAAAATAGTGAATTAGAATAAGTGGTTAGACTTCTAAACCTTTAAAACCTGTTCTGTTTCCTGACTTTTTTCATTTATTTACCTTATTACAAATGAAATGATTTTTAAGATACATTATGTTCAGCCAAGGTAATACTGATAGTAAGGCTTGACATGATCTCCAGGAAAAATATGGATTGAATTTATGATTTTAAGCTGAAATTATTACTTCCTTATTATTGATAATGACATTGTGTGTATATTAGGTCATCATTTACTTTTATCAAATGAAATTAACCTGAAACAAAAAACATGGTCTAATGGGACTCATCTATATCTTGACATTTGTATTTCAGTTCAGTGTTATTTAAAAATTACATGATTGATAATAATAATGTGAATCAATGACCTCCTTCAGTTATAAAAATAAGAGAGGGTATATTTTCCATTTTAAGAAGAATAACTTTGACCTTTCTGTGAGTATGAATCAGCTGAAAATCTGATATTTGAATGTGGCAGGATTGCAACACTTTCAAAGTAGGAATCTAGCCAATTTTTAAGAAAAATCACAATGTTTCAGCTTTGAACTTTAATGTATTTGGAACATATGCAGCAGAACATTTTCTTCTTACTATCGTCTGCCAAGCTAATTATGTATACCACATTTATTTTTCCCTTATGCTTGGGAAATCTCAGTGTATGGTAGAATAATTTTCTGATTCATAGTAGGATCAAAATGAGAGATTCTGAAATTTTCTCTTGAAATTATATGCAAAAATGAAAATATTTCATTCATTTAAAATTATTTATTGAGTATCTACTATATGCTAGATTCTTCCTGAGAAACAGGACGGATAAAGTTCTGTCTGAGAATCTGTATTCTAATGGAATGGTGTGGGCGATGATGGAATTTTAGATTCATAAAATGTCCTGTAGGAAATAAAACATAATGAGATAGAGGACCTTAGCTGAGATTGGAATGGTTTGAATATCTATTTAGGGGGAAGTGTAAATTCTGTCAGTGGCCCCTGAGGTAGGAAAAGCCTAGCTTAGGTCTGGAACAGAAAAGCCAGCGTGGGAGGAACACAGTGAATGTGAGCGCTGGGGGCAGAAATGGTAGAGGTTAAATGAGCCTGAGTTTCGATTTTGCTCTGATTGTAGTTAGGAGTCCTTGGAAGGCTTCAAATGGGCAAGTTTTGACATACTCAAGGACAGTCACTCTGCAGGCTATCAGGAGGGAGAACGGAGAGAGGGTAAATGGAAGCAGGAAGCCAGCTAGGGAGATGTTCCAGCGCCTCATCCAGAGGTGGTGGCTGGAGCTGGGAGGAGTGGAGTTGGTGTGGAGCGATCGGAGCTGCGTTCTGTGTTGCACGCTGCTTGCATGTGCTGATAGATTGCACATCTTCGTATGGAAGCACTTGTAAATCTGAAAGTTAAATTCTTTCTTTAAAATTGTATTTTAAAGAGAAAAAAACCAAAATTTTAAAACAATGCTGCTGACCAGTATTGCATGTCTATATCTGTTTTCATGAGAAGCCACTTTGAAGATATCAATATGTAATACAACCACCATTGTTAATTCCCTACCACTTTGT